CCAGCGGGGTCTCCTCCTAGGGAGGTGCAGAGACTTGGAGGAAATGCTTTCCCATTCTCAACTCTCCATCAAAGCAGGAGGCCTTGGCATGGTAGAGCCACATGAGCCAAGTGCTTGCCCACTGCTAAGCCCAGCCAGGACCCCCACTCTTCTAGCATCTGCCCTTACCCCTCCCCCCATGCTGGGCATGGTGATGTCCCCAGCCTCCCAGGGTGGTGGGTCTGGGTTGGACCAGTGCCCTATAGAGGGTGGGCTGAGTGGATGGGAAAGACATTTCCCCGTGCTTACTGGGGCCCAGCTGCTATCTGCAGCTCCAATCTGCTGCCTCTCTTTATCTCTGAGGGACCGCCTGGGTTCCCAGCAGCCTCCCCGCTGCTCACTTCCTGCCAGTGGCCAGCATTACAGGAATACGCACGCACACACAGCACACTGAACTAACTCAGCATGTGAGTGTGTGTGTGTGTGTGTGTGTGTGTGTGTGTGTGTGTGTGTGTGCATGGGTGCTCACACCCCAGAGCTTGCACCAGCCTGGCCAGGTGCCAGGGAGTCAAAGGTACACCCAGAAATCCTGACCTGAGTCTCTTAGAATCCTCCCTCAAGAGGCCAGAGATGGTGAGGGTGATCTTGATGTTCTCCTGACTGTCCTCGGAGGCAGGACAGCGCGCCTGTTCTCATGTGTACAGCCAGTGACCAAGATCAAGGGCACTGAACCAAGTGTCGTCGTCTCACACACACACACACACACACACACACACACACACACACACACACACACCCCCGTCAGCCACTCAGCTGCCACCAGGATGACCTGACCTCAGGAACACACATATATGCAGGTTGCCCCATGTGTCCCTCCCTCATCCGCCACTCAGCTGTCAATCACCAAGTCCCAGACTGGGCACTGGGCTAAGCACACAGGGTATGACACAAAACGCCCCCGGCTGGCCTTTCGTGTTTAGTGCATCAGCTGCACAAGTGACAGAGTCGTGCACCTGTGGCCGTGGGCAGTGGGAGGAGAGGTGCCTTGTGTACCCCAGAAAAAGGTTGGGCCGGGTTGGGCCAGGGGGCTTCTTAGTGGAAGATCATTTCAGCTGAGACCCAAAGACTGAGGAGGGGGTGACCAATGACGTGCTGATAGCTGGGAGGGGCAGGGTCCGGACAGAAGGGAGACAGGTACTGGGAGGGCAGGGAAGAGCGAGGAAGCATATTTGGGAACAGAGTGCCACAGGTGGGCTGAAGTTCTGGTGAAAAACCCCAGAAAAAAAGCTGCATCAAGCATCAAGAGTCTGGTTGGGTGAGGAGTGGCTGGAGTGATGGCTGAGTTGGTAAAGGGCCGGTCTTGTAAGCACAAGGGCCTGGGTACCATCCCTGTACTCTGTAAAAAGCTGTAATGGTGGCCAGCATTTGAAATCCCCGCTCTGGGGAAGCAGAGACAAGCAATTCCTAGGATTTGGACAGCCTACCCTAATCGGTGAGCCCCAGGTCCCAGTGAGAGACTCTGTCTCAAAAATAATGTGGGCTGCACCAGAGGAATGACATGTGAGGTTGACCTCTAGGCTCCATGTGCATGTGTACGTGCACATGCGTGTGCACACACACACACACACACACACACACGCACACGCACACGCACACGCACACGCACATGTGCGCGCACACACACATGCACATAAACACCAAATAAAAGGGCCAAGTATGGCAGGCACTCAGGCCATCCTGCCCAGAGTACTGGCTGTGAAGAGAAGGAGACAACGGGCAAGGTGAGGTGACCCCGTGACCTCTGCAGTGGGGACTCTTTAGCACTAACAACTGCAAACAGGCCATAATTAGAGAGAAAAAGGGACGGGTCAGCCAGAGACCAGGAAAAAGCCAGAAGACAAAAGGAGCTGGCTCAGGAGGAGATTCCTTACCCTACTCAGAGAGGGTGGCTGGGGTTGGGAATGTAGCTCAGTGGTAGAGTGCTTGCCTAGCAAGCGCAAGGCCCTGGGTTCGATCCTCAGCTAAAAAAAAAAAAAGAAAAAAAAAAGAGAAGGTGACTTGTCCCCAGCTCTCACCAGTGATACAGTCTACAAATGACACTGTGCAAGAATTAAAAGGCAGGCCTGGCATGGTGGCACACACCTTTAACCCCAGCACTCGGGAGGCAGAGCCAGGCGGATCTCTATGAGTTCGAGGCCAGCCTGGTCTACAGAGGGAGATCCAGGACAGGCACCAAAACTACACAGAGAAACTCTATCTTGAAAAACCAAAAAGAAAAAAGAAGAAAAATGAAAAGGCAGAAAGGTTTGGAACACAACTGGCAGCCGCAGAGAAACCTCCAGCGTGGCAGACAGGATCCACAGGTAGGGGAAGGTGTGTACTGGGCGATGTGCAGAGCTGGGCGACGTGCAGAGCGGCCAAAAACCCCGTGTCTTGTCCAGGCCTGCGGGTTGGAGAGCCTCTGACGTGTCCCATCCCTAATTTAGGGTTGGTCAGTTTGAAGAAAGCTAGGAGAGTTGGGTAGCCCAGAACTGTTGTGTGCTATGTCCTGATTCAGAGCCTCAAAACCTGTCCATCAGCAGGGTGCCAAACAGTGGGAGACAGAAGCTTTGGTCTCGTCAGGAGGTTGAGGAGGAAGATGGCCATCTCCGAAATCTGCCACTAGTTACCTAGTTAAGGACCCCACCCCTATCTGCCTGCCTGCCAGGGAGTCCGTCTACCTCCTGGCCACTCAGCAGGATGACTCAAACCTCAGGTACAGCTAGGAAGCATGCAAACATGTGTATGCACAGAGATGCACACAGATCCACCCATATACATGTACATATACACACATGCTAGCATAGACAATTCATTCAAATATACACACACACAATCCATACAGATACACACTCAGATACATACACAGAGCACACACACACACACACACACACACACACACACACACACACACACACACACACACACGAGATAGAGACAGAGACAGAGACAGAGAGGAGAGAGACACCCAGGCTGAGCTCAGGTAGAGTCTCCTCCACACACACCTGGTTGTCCACACTCAGGCACCAGACAGGAGGACCTAGCAATAGAAACTGTCTGTCCTACAACCCTGAGAAGAATATGCCTCCATGGGGAGACAGACCCACTGGGAAGGACAAAAGCTAGTGGTCCAGCTGTCACCTGGGCGGGGTCCTCAAGCCTTATGCCCTGTTTCCCCTTCCCACCACTGCTTAATGATTGGCAGGGAGCCCCCTTGGGAAGGCCTTGTAGTTTCTGAGAGGGTTACAAGCAGGTGGCCATTCTCTGGTTCTGCCATCAAAGGGAGGTGCTTGCTCTTTTGTCCCCTCTCTCCCCTGAGAGCTCCCATGGCTGCTCCCAGCCCATCCACCCCCCTTCCCATGGAGTCTTCGCTCCCGCCCCCCATTTCCCAGCAGAAGTGCTGGAGCCAGACAATGAGATAAGGGCTTGTTTTCTAAGGACTGGAATTCGGGAATTAGGCAGAGCTTGTGGGTCAGGGCCAGAGCACCCTGCTATGGGGAAGCAGGGGGCCTTTCTATTAGGTGGAAGGCCCTGGGGCCCCAGGCCTACAGGGACTTGACCTTGCACCCTTTTAGGATGGCTCTGCTAGGGGTTTGGGAGAGGGGAAGAGCCCCTCAGAGTTGGCTCTGTCCCTGCAGGTGGCCTCTGGGCTGCGTCTCACCTCTCCTCACTTCTCCAGCCCCCTGGACTTCCAACAGGGTCTGCCACCTTACTGTGGCCCCAGTAACTCTCCCTTCCTCCATCTCCTGCTTAGTACACTGCCCTCTCATCAAAAATGGTTGCTTCCTCCAGGAAGCCTGCCTGGCGGCTGCTCCCTCCCAACACACCACTGGCAGACACAGCAGGAGGAAGACAGAGTGACAGAGAGGGGACCTGGACAGCATCTGAGTCAGGATGAAAGCCCTGAGAGGTACCTTGTTAGGTATGGGCTTCTGCTCCATGAGGCCCTTTTCAGACTGGCTTGCTCCCAACCCACCACAGACAACTAGCAGGCCTGAGTCCCCAACCTCCCTGTATGAGGGAAGGTCACTCTTTGGTCCCGGTAAGTCAGAGTGTACCCCACAACAGAAGCACCAAGCTCCAGGGCCTTGCAGCTCCAACATCAGGCTAGCAGCAAACTCTCCCAGGAGCCTGGCACAGGGTCAGTACCGGAAGAGCAGAGCCTCCCGCCCTCGCCATAGTAGGGACCCTGAGCACAGCTTGTTTCCGGACACACAGCTGGGAGTGGAGTGGGGATCTTATTTTCCTTGCTTTTCTGAGACAGAGTCTCTCACTCTAGTGCAGACTGGCCTGAAACTCTCAACTATCCTCCTGCCTCAGCCTCCCAAAGGACTGGGATTACAGGCACGAGCCACCACACGGCCTATCTTTTGCAGTGCCGGGGAATCAATCCGAGGGCCGCATACTTGCTACGTAGGTGGTCTGTCACACAGTGTTCTTGGGCATGACTTCCATGAAAGCATCTTGTCTCTCAAGGCAATGGTGTAGGGAGGAAGAGGATTTCTACATACCTCTGTGACTCTGCTTCCCATTACACCCTGGGAGATTATACCTCCAGCCCCAGGTGAAGACATTCTTGTGTCCCCTGCCTGGCACCTAGTTAGTGCCCGGTAAAACCATATCAAAGGCTGGACATGGTGGCTCATTCTTGCAATCCCAGCACTTGCGAAGCGGCAGGGGGATTGTGCAGAGTGAGTTCTAGGTTAGTATGATTGTCTACAGCATGAGATTGTCTCAAAAAACAAACAACCCCAAAACAGGTATTGGAGAGATGGTGCAACACTAAAAAACACATACTACTCTTGCAGAGAACCTGAGTTTGGTTACTAGTACCCACACCTGTAACTCCAGCTCCAGGGTGTCCAAAGCCTTCTTCTGGCCCCCAATGGGCAACTACACTTATGTGCACATACATCACCCACACACATACACACATCATTTTAAAAGTTTTAAATTCATTTTTATTTAGGGAAAGAGGAGAGAGAGAGAGAGAGAGAGAGAGAGAGAGAGAGAGAGAGAGAGAGAGAGAGAGAGAGAGCACTGGAGATGTATCCCATTCGGTAGAATGCTTGCCTAGCATACACAAAGTTCTAAATTCAGCTCTCAACACAGCATAGTCTGGGCACGTTGGCACACACCTGCAATCCTAAGCAGGACAGTCAGAAGTTCAAGGTCACCTAGGCTACGCAGTGAGTCTAAAACTAGCCTGGGATACATGAGACCCTGTTTCAGAAGACAAAAATTGAAAAGACTCTTAAGGGGCGACATGGTACCATTTATGATTCCTGGACTTCAGGAACTCACAGCAGCGTTTGCAGTGTGTTTCCTCCCATGTGAAACAAGGACCGTGAGGGGCTGGAGAGATGGCTCAGCCGTATTCCAAGCACCCAGGTTGTTTAGTGGCTGGGACGCTTAACTAAGTTAAATTTGCAGTGTCACGAGCAGTGCCAGGTACACACTAGAAGTCACCTGGACGTCAGCTACATAAAAGATGACCCCTTCAGCTAAGCAAGGAACTGTCATCCCAAATTCTCTGCACGGCGAACACGAACTACAATTCCCAGCACGCTGCGGGACTCACCATACTGTATAAAGCTCCAGAGAGAACTACGACTCCCAGAGTGCCCTGGGCCTACCCAGCTCCAGTCTGTGCCGGGTCAGAGTAGTCCAGCCTCACCGATACCCCGCAGGCCCGGAAGAGAGTGTCCACGGCTCCTACAAGCGAGCAAGGCGGGTGCTGCAGCCATGCTCCGCAGACTGGCCCGAGCCGCAGTCCCGGGGCTCAGGGTGCCCTGGGCGCGGTGGTCTGGGAACTGGGCGGGGGTCCCAGCTCAGGTGGTAGACCTGCGCAGCGACACAGTGACCCGGCCAGGGCCGGCCATGAGACGCGCCATGGCCGAGGCGCTCGTGGGAGATGACGATTACGGCGAAGACCCCACAGTCCGCGGTGAGCCGGGCGAGCAGGCCCGGGGTAGGGGTCCTCGCGGTGACCCCGGGGCGCTCTCCGTGGTGCTGAGAGGAGGACAGTGTGGACGCAGAATAATGGCTCACGTGGCATGTGAGGACGCGCCCACAGGCTAGTTGGTGCACCCTGCGCCCCTGGTCGTTCTCTGGGAGATCCTTGGTAATGCAGACTCCTGAGCTCCGCTTTGGACTTAGGGAGCCAGAATCTGCCTAATAACACCGGGTGATTTTTGGCCACTGTTACCCAAATGCCCAGATGGGTGTTGTCCAGTCTTGCAAAGAAAGGCTCTGAGGTGGCCCGTATCAGGAACAGGGAAGAACCAGGGGTTGAGAAGGTCTGACTGATGACTTGTGACTACTCTCCTGCATTCACTGACTGACTTCACAGAGACAAAACCAATCGAGCGAAGGTTTCTGGGCTCGCTGCACCTTCCCAGGGACAGAATTTCATAACCGGGGTTGATAGTCACTGTTAAAAGTGACTTCTAGTGTTGCTGGGGTGTGTACAGCTTTAAGGGATCCAGAGATAAACCAGAGATCACCACTTTGACCCCTGGAGGCCTGTTTGTGGGCCCAGAGATTACTGGGGTTGTTACCAGGAACTTCAAAGATGCTGAGCTACTCTGCTGAGCCGACACCTGGGGTGTAAACAGGTCCCCACATCAAGGCTGGGGGAGTGCTGGCCTTCTGGAGGCTGGGGAGGATGCCTTTCCAACCAGGGACTGGGAGGAGGAAAGAACAGAGCTCCCTGAAGGATGAGTGGAAGCGTCCAGGGTGCAGGTGGGGACACAGTCTAGATCACTCCAGCCCTGGATGCCATGCCACAGAGGGAAGCCACCATGGGCTTGAGACAGGCCTTTCACTCACCCACCAGCTGCACCCGTGATGCCCTGCCAGCTCCCCAGAGACTCTTCTTCCGTGGTGATGTGGAGAGGAAGTCTGCAGGGAAACCGCAGGGCCTCACCTGCCGGGGCTGATGGGAAAGGAAGAAAAACAGGTGTGAGGTTGGGTGGGAAACGGAGTTCAAACCACAAGAGAGTTTCGGTGGCCTGAGGCAGAGGACCGTGGCCCAGGAGGAGGTAACATGCAGAGGCCTGACAGAGGGGCCTCTGGACATGGCACGTGGTTACCAGCAGCACAGACCACAGGGAGGGGAGGTGGGCTCCAAGCCCTGCCATGGGCCGTAGGCTCTCACAGGAACACATGCACTTTTTAGGAGGAGGGGTTTAGGACAAGGTCTTGCTATGTAGCTCAGGCTGCTATCAAACTCAGCCATCCTCCTGCTTCAGCAGAGCCCTGGAACTACAAGTACAGACCATCACACCCCGTAACAAGTGCACCTTGAACTGTACCAGGGTACAGTGGCTCTGAGCAACTGTTGATAAGACATTCTCACCCCACCCTCCCTTCTCCCTTCCCAGAACTGCAGGAAAAGGCTGCAGAGCTGTTTGGGGTGGAGCGGACCCTGTTTGTGCCCACCAACACCATGGCCAACCTTATCTCTGGTGAGTGTCCACCCACCCTCTGAGCCGGGGTTTGCGGCTCTGGTGGATGCATTCTCACATTCCTGGGTTTCTTTCGGATGCAGCCAATGGAGCATCCTGGCAGATGGTAACAGGAGGGTGAGGTCTGCAAGTCTCTGCCACTCCCTAGCTCTTCCTCCTCCTCAGGCTTCTGAGGGGGCCTGGCCACTGCAGTGCCCTGGACTGCCTGTTCCCGGGGACGGCACTCCGTTATTCTTCCCTGCTGCAAGTGTTCTGCACTGGGGCACGGGGCTCTGATGCAGGTTGTTAATGCCCAGCATTTACAGCAAAGCCATCCCAGGGTCGTGTAGCACGCCAGCCTTTTCAACACATGGCAGTGAGGTATCTTGAGGGGTGTGCGTCCTAACTGATAGTCTGAGTTCACTGGGGCTCCAGCTCAGCCTGGCCACACTGAGCAGGGGCAGTGGAACCCTCTTGGACCCAGTTCCAAGTCCTGCCCTCCTCCCATCTATCTCAGTGATGGGTCACTGCCGGCGCCGGGGTTCCCAGGTCCTCCTTGGGCAAGAATGCCATCTCCACGTCTATGAGCAGGGCGGGGTGGCTCAGGTAAGGACCGGGCACCACTCCCTTGGGACTTTGGACATCCTCCAGCCAGCTGGGATGCCAAGGTAGGCACCTGCTTCCCAGGCACCAGGCTGGAACCACTAGGGAGGAAGGGGAGGGCACAGGGAAGCAAGAAAGGGAGATGGGAGGGAAGGTCTGGGCCCAGATTTGCTCCTCTGCCTTGGTGCCTTACTGCCCCCTAGTGGGCAGATGGAGCACTAGCACTCCAGAAAGAAGCCAAAGGAGGACATCTGAACAGAAAAGCAGGATGCTGCGTGCAGGTGCTCAGAGCAAAGGCTCTGGGTCCCAGAGGTGGCTCCTACTGCAGAGCAAACTTCCTACCTGGGGGTGCCGCTGGACCCACCTGATCCAGTGTCCTCTCCCACCTGCAGATTGCTGGGGTGCATTCCCACCCCCTCCCAGACATGCCCCATGGCACCCTGGACCTGAATGAGCTAGAGCGGGCACTCAGTCGGGGCTTCGGGAGCTCCTACCATCCAGTCTGCGAGCTTGTGTGTCTGGAGAACACACACAGCAGTGCCGGGGGCCGGGTGCTCCCCATCGACTACCTCCGCCAGGTAGGCTCCCACTCAGCCGGGCCCCAATGCCAGCGTACTCTTGACTTCCTGTGCCCCTGCACAGTCCCTATCCCTAGGGACAAATCCCCTCTGACACATGCTATGGGCACCCATCAGTGGTCTGACTGTCAGAGGGGAATGTGTTGGTCCAGGCTGAAATGGCATGGGGTTCATCACTCTGGCTTCAGGCTCTTGGTCTGTCTTGGGCACAGAAACATCACATGTGTGCAGCACAGGGTGACTTCTCAGGTCCCAAATACACAGAGCCACCAGGCTTCTGACTCGAGAGCCCTCATGGTTCCTCAAGATGCCCAGCTCGGGGGAATCCTGAGACATGTTCAGGGGTTAAGAAGAGTTGCTGCTCTTCCAGAGGACCTGAGTTTGGCTGCATCAAAACACCTGTAACTGCAGCTTCAGGGGACCCGGTACCCTCTTCTGGCCTCCATAGGCACACCACCACCCATGGCACACACCCACACACAAACACATAAAATAAAAAGAAATCTTGAGATGACTCAGTGGATAAAAGCAGTTGCTGCTCTTCCAGAAGACCTGAATTCAGTGCCCAGCACCCACACCAGACAACTCATGATGTTCTGTAACTCCAGCTCCTGGGGACTCCAGTGCCTCTGGTTTCCACAGGAGTTTGCACGCATGTACACATCCACGTGCAGACACATCCTAGACTAATTAATAATAAAAATAATAAAATACAAAATCTTTTTAAAAAATGATGCCAAGTCCAGATGCCCTCCCTACACCGGCCCCTCTGACCTCTGCCTGACCTTTGCCCCAGGTGCGCCTTCTGGCCCACACCTATGGAGCCCGGGTCCACCTGGACGGGGCGCGGTTGATGAATGCAGCCGTGGCTCTGCGTGTGCCCCCTGCCCGCCTTGTGGAGCACTGCGACTCTATATCCTTCTGTTTCTCCAAGGTAGGCTGACCTTCCAGAGGCAGGGCGGTGTGGGCACCCCTGAGGGTACAGTTGGACCCCTGAGCTCCGGGCCTTCCAGAGCCTGCCGGCCCTGCCGGCCCTGAACTGTGCAGCACGCACCCCTCCCCACCTCCAGGAGCCTTTCCTCTCTTCCCTTAGGGCCTCGGTGCCCCGGTGGGGGCTCTGGTAGGGGGATCCAAGGACTTCATTGAAGAAGCCTGGCGCCTCCGCAAAGCCCTGGGTGGAGGCATGCGCCAGGCTGGAGTACTGGCTGCGGCTGCCCTGGTGGGACTGGCTGAGGCAGAGGAGGTGCTGCCAAGGGACCATGAGAAGGCCCAGAGATTCGCTACAGGTGCCTGGACCAGCCCCCGCCCCGCCCCGCCCCCTTTGCTCCCTACCATCTGGGCCTAGATGTCCCCAGCAGCAGGACCAGGTCCCCAGCAGATCTGCACCCCCAAGCCTCTAGCAAGCTTCTAGGATGGGACCTGGGTCTTCTTGCCTCAGCAGGCCCTACTCCGTGGGCCACTCACATAGGGATGCACCCAGCTGAGTCAGGGGCCAAGACAGCGTGGAGCCTCCAATGTGGGTCTTCTGTGCATTTTCTAAATTTTCATAACAGTCCTTTGACGTCCCCACATCTGAGACCCAGAGAAGTAGAAAGCAGGATTCAACTCATGTTCCCAAATGCCACCTCAGGACTCAGGGTCTGCTTGCCCCCTGGGGGCAGCTCCGGTGGGGGCCCGGAGTTGGCCCGGGGCTGGGGTGTACTCACCACCGTGTCTGGCTCCAGGACTCCAGGACCTGGCATCACCCATTTGCTCTGTGGATCCTGCCGCCGTGGAGACCAACATGGTGCTGGTGCAGGTGGCCGGGCTGCCTCCTGGAGAGCTGTGCCAGCGCCTGCAGGCTGTGAGCGCCGAGGAGGTAGCTCGGACTGGCTGTGCCGTGAGCGTGCTGCTGTTCCCCTGGACGGAACACTCTGTGCGGACTGTGTGGCACCGAGACGTATCTGCTCAGGACACGGAACTGGTGCTGAGGAAGTGGGAGTTTGTACTGAGAGAGTTGATGCCCTGAGGTCGGGGAGCAGGAACCCTGTGCCCTGGCTAGGATTGAAGTGGGGAATAAGGGGCCCAAAACCATTAGCCTGGTGAAGGCCGGTCCTTCTGGGGGATGATGACACCACTCAGCCTCTGGTTTCCTCCAGCGACTCTCATGTGACGGCCTCATTCAGTCAGGAATAACCAGGCATAGGCTGGGATAAGATGTGGGTGAACATCAAGAGAAGGAAATGGTCAGGCAGTGGTGGCGTCCGCCTTTAATCCCAGCACTTGGGAAGCAGAGGCAGGTGGATCTCTGTGAGTTCGAAACCAGCCTGGTCTACAAAGCAAGTTACAGGACAGTTACACAGAGAAACCCTGTCTCAAAAAACCAAGAGAGAGAGAAAGAGAGAGAGAGAGAGAAACAGATCTTAGGGCTGAGACATGTATGGCTGCTGCCTGGTGTGCATGAGTCCCGAGTTCAATCCCCAGCATTGTATAAACAGGTGCGTTGACTCGCATCTGCAATCCTAGCATGCTGGAGGATTCAAGGTCGTTCTCAGCTACACAGACTTTGATGTGAGTCTGGGCTACATGAGACCCTATCTCCAAACAAACAGATCCTTACGTGATTGGCAGAGTTATCAGAGATGGACTGTAAAATAAAGTATTGAAGGAGCTGTGTTGGTTACCTTTATGTCCTGGTTAAATACATGACAGACGCAACAGGTTCGAGTTCCAGCACCCACACAGTGGCTCAACCATCTCTAACTCCAGTCCCAGGGGATCTGACACCCTCTTTTGGCCTCCACTGGCACCAGGCATGCATATAATACATATCCATACATGCACACAAAACACTCATACACAAAAAATAAAATGAAAAATAATTTCAGTATTGGAGCTGGAGAGATGGTTTAGCAGTTATGAGCATTGGCTGCTCCTTCAGAGGACCTGGGTTCGATTCCCATCACCTGCTTGGCTGCTCCCTACCATAACTCCAGTTCCAGGTGGAGATGGTTAAGAGGCTGCCATGGTGTGCAGGATGATGTGGTGGACAGTTTGGGCTGCAGCGATCACACCTGAAGAAGAGCAGGAGCTGCCGCAGGGGACTGTCTCTCCTCACCCCTCACAAGACTCCTGTGTTTGGGGCTCCCCAGGGCCCAGAGCTTTTCTCCTGTGTCTGAGGTGGTGGTAGAGCGTAAAGCAGTGCCTTCTCCTTTGATTTCCCATACTGCCTTCAGGAGACAGACACTATGCACTAACTAATCCACTGCTGGGGAAGGAACGTCCCCCGACAAGCTGGTACCTCAAGCCTGCAGGAATACCTCACGGGTTCTCAGTTTCTGGTCTTAGGAACTGAGGGGTTAGCTTAGGCTTGGTTTGAGCTTTCCTAATCAATGAATGCTCTGTGTGAGCCATCTGCCTCCATGGTGGCTTGTTGTACCCCCGGCCTTGTACCCGTCTGTCTGGGCAAGCCTCTTCTCACCCCAGCCTCAGTGCAGCTGGCTCCCAGTGCAGCTGGCTCCCAGTGCAGCTGGCTCCCAGTGCAGCTGGCTCCCCCTAGCACCAGCGACTGAGAGGCTGAGGCAGGACCTATGAGGCATTGTCTGCCTTTCCCTATGTATCCCCAGGTCAGTCCAGACTTGGTGTGTCAGAAAAGGACCTGAAGGGGAGGGACCGTTTTCCAGCCATCCGGAGGCTGCTGCTGTAATGTATGGATGCTGGCTGGGATGAAGTCTGCATCCAGGAAACACTGAATCCGTATGGTTCAGGCTCTGGTGACATCAGAGGACAAATGGCGGAGGAAAGGGGACAGCAGGGCATTTGCAGACAGTGGGTTCAGAGGTAGGGAGCCCTGTGCTGCTGGGGGGCCCCTGGCTGGGCCCACATTTGGCTGCAGGAACTGAGGCACACTCACATGGAGGGTGAGTCCCCTGCCTGTGAGGCCTGGCTGCCACAGCGGCTGGCTTTTGTCTCGTGGGCAAGCTCCTCACTTGTCTCTGCTCTCCGTGTGAGATACATGGTTCCACCGGAGCTGCTGTCGTCTGTTCGCGTCAGCTCTGAGCTGCTGACTCCTCCCAGGCAGCACTTGCCTACCTTTTCACCTGGGTCTCATCGCCCAGCTACCCAGTGAACCGTGAACCAAGACAAAACCCTTGGGCCAGTGACTAAGAAGACTGGTCCATCAGTGCAAAGGCCTCAGCTAGCTTCAGTAAGCCCTGTCTGGCCACATGCCCTTGTGCAGAGGCACACACCCGCAGGCAGCTGTGGAGGTCTTCACAGCCATTGTGTGGGTCTTCCCCAGTGTCACCTGGAAGCTTAAAGCCACCCACATTCAGTGGGCCCGGAATTCACAAACTGGCTTCCAGCAGACAGATACCTCAACAAATGTTCATGAAGCCAGCCAGGGAGAGGCTGTAACTTTCCTCCAGCTCCCGGTGAGCCAGCCCAGATCCTGCTCAGGCCCGAGACTCCTCTCCATCTCTGGAGCTAGGAAGAAGGCAGTTGAAGCTGCAGGATCTGACAAAGTGCACACATCGGTGATGACCAGAAACACACACTGGTGTGTGTCCACCCTTCTAACTCATGAGAAATGAGTATGTATTACCTATTTTGAAGAATTCTAAGCTGGCCCTGGTGATGTATACCAGAAATCTCAGCACCAGGGAGGCTGAGGCAGGAGGCATGAGTTGAGGCCTACGTAGTGAGGCTTTGTCCCTGTGCCCCTCCCCAAAATAATACACATCACAGAAAGAGAAAAATATATACATTGCAGCTGATTTATTCAGACACTTAGCAGTGCTCCTACATGGAATGGCAAAGATTAGAACACAAATTGGAAGGGAGGTCGCCATCAGTTCCAGACCTTTGCCCTCAGTAGGTCACATTAAACCCTACAAAGTACTCCCCTGCTCCCCAGGACCTTCCCATATCCTTAGAGGCAATCAAAAGTGACTTGGGGACACTGCTGGGACCAAGCCTTGACAAGGACTACCTTCCCTAGTGCATACCCCAAAGGAAGAGCCTGCACCAGAATCAGGGCTATTTGGGGATTTCAGGTACTGCACAGCCCCTAACCTAACAGCCATCCACTGTCCAGTCACGCAAACACAGGTCTGCCCCCTCTTACGTGGCCAGAGATGATTCAGTTCCCACCTATGTTGTCCCCAACAGGGAGTAGGCTGCAGGCAGCCTGTGAGCTGACCCATCCACACCTGCAGCCAAATCTAGCACAAGTAGAGATGCAGGCAACCAGGAGGCAGGCCAGGCATGGCCCCAGCTCACCCCAACTGTGGCCAGTCTCAGACAGCCTCCTGGTTGTTGCTGTAAAGAGGAAGTACCAGGCCAGCAGGGCAGCAGCCTGTACCAAGACAAGGACTGAGACGCGAAGGTCCACCCTGCCTGGAAGCACTCAAGTAAGTAACCCACTTGGTGGCTTGAAAACAAACCTAGACTGTACCCTCCCATTCAGCCCCAAGCCTCCTCCCATCAACCTCCCCTTGGGAGAGGGAACAAAACAGAACCCAGGTGTCGAACTGCAGTGACACCCGGATCTGCCATCTGTTCTCGGGTTTCTGGCCTCAGTCTCCCTCTCTGTGGCATAGGATGACTAGGGATAGAGAGGTAAGGAAGTGCTCAGGAAGCACTCAGGCAGCTCCTAGCACAGACTGGGACTGTCTCAGCTCCTGAGGGTTGGAGTGGTCTGCGCCCCCAGAGCAAGAGCATGCCCTGAGCACCCAGAACCCTGAGGCACCCCAGCAGACTGTGCCATGACTTGAGACGCTGGCTATCATCTGCCTTTCTCGTGTCCAGCTGAAGTGGAAAGAGTACTTCCCCAGCATGCCATCCCCAGGGCACCCTCCTAGTCAGGGTTCCAGCAAGGGCCAAGAGTGCACTTCCTTCTCCACACAGCCCGCCGCCTGGGACTCAGATGATCACGCAGTGGGGCATTCCTGGGCGTTGGCTCAGGCTGAGGAACCGGGCAGCTGTGAGCAGGAGGGCACCACTGAGCACCTCCAAGGCACAGGAGCCCCAGGCCAGGGCCAGTGACCAGCCGAAGCTGATGTTCACACTCTGCACGTGCTGCAGACCATACAGGCGGGCAGTCTCCACAAATGCCAGGTGTGAGTAGCTGATGTAGATGCTGACCCCTGCCAGGGTCAGGGCACCTGGGGAGAGAGGGGCAGCAAGATTGCTCCATGTGTCACCAGCAGACCCAACTTTAGGTCTCCACTCCCTCCTCACCAGCCCTTGGGCAGTGTGGTGGGGAGGGAGGGGAGGGGGGATTTATAACTGCCTGCAACAAAAGCCACAGGTTTGGTCTGTGGGAGCATGGGAAGCAGAACCTGACGCACTGTACTCTGGGAGAGGTAGGGATGTGGTGGGCATGCACACACAGTGGAATGGCCACACTCTCAGGCTCCCCAGGCGCCAATACAGCTGTTGTCTGTCGCCCACTACACCTGCAGCACCCAGCTCCCTGGAATGGCGACCTGTCCTCCAGCCTTAGCCCTCTTACAGCATGCCTCCCAGCTGGTCCCTGAAGCCTTGGCTGACAACTCCAGATCCATCTGCCTCTGCTCCTGCTATCCTGACTTGGGGGACCCCAGCCCCCAGCTCCTTTCCCTCTGAGGGCAGGAAAGCTGTGGCCAGCCTCCCCTAGAAGCTGCCTTCTAGTGTCTGTACTCCACCAGTGCCTCTACCAGTATTTGTACTTGAAGGAAAATGCAGAGGCTCCATGTCACTGTGGAGTTTCCACTTAGAATCCCAACCCCAGTACAGTTGGTAGCTTCCTGTGCCTTCTAATTGGATTTTGCACTCAGTCTCCTGGGTCAAGGCTATAGCAGATATTTTGATTACCCCGATTTCACTCTCCAGAGACCTGGGTCTGAACATCTGCCTGTCTCATTAGTCTGTGGCTGCGGTTCCCTCTGTCAGGTCCATCCCACTCCTAACAAAGGTCTCCTGAAGAGCCCAGTGTCCCCTGGAGGGAAGCAGGCTTGTCTGGAAGATCTCATCAGTGTAGTCATAGCCGTGAGAGTAGGACTGGCCTGAGCACAGACCAGCACAAACCTGGCCCAGAGGCTGCTGGGGACGGACCCACAGGGCCACCTACCCACTTTTGATGACCGCTCGCCTAGGGTGGCTGGAACAGACTGTACCAGAGGCACTCGAGGGGACCTGAGCATCAGTTTCCCTCTGGCTCTGGAAGCCTGCTGAAGTGGCCCTGAGGAGCCACCAGGGAGCTCTTGGCCTGGTGCTGTGGCTAGTCATAGCCTGGGACTAGGGGAGTAAGAGCCAAGGATAATACGGCCCTGCTTGCCCTGCTGCCTCGACCCCTCAGCTGGAAGGAGCGAGGAAGATGGGGTCAAGTCCCACATCTTCTTGCACTGTCTGCCCACAGAGCTGGTCCTGCAATTACCATGGAGACCCTGAAGTCTCCCGGGCCAAGAAGCTCCACGCTGGTGTTCCTGTGCATCCAGACCCCACCCAGAAGCCCTGGCCCTCAGCCAGCCCTAGGGTGTCTCTGCTGGGGAGCGGGGGCTCCCCAATGTTCAGAGGGGAATGGGGGCCAGGGTAGAGGTCAATGAGAGTCACAGACCCACTCCCAAGATCCGCAGTTCCAATATCCTCCAAGGGACCTCGACTTACCCCCTAGCAAGAAGTAGCAGCCAGTGAGGAGCAGCAGAGGAACACTCCGGGACAGGGAGCTGAGCAAGCCGCAGACCCAGCCACACACGATGAGGACGAGGCTCAGAGGCAGGACGACCATGACGGTGCGATGTAGCACTGTGGGAAGAGGATGCTCGGGGCAGGCAGAGGGGCGGGCCTCTAAGGAGCCAGAGATCCTTCATCTGTTCAAGTCACCAGCAGGGCTGAGCAGATGCCCATCTCCATAATAACACGAGACCCTTCCAGTGGCCACCCCTTTCTGGTACCGGCTTCCTGAGGCCAGGCTGAGAGAGGCTTTGCCAGTGCCCTCCCCATCCCACCCTCAGGCCTCTCAGGGGCAGTAGGTTGTCTATAGCCATCCAACTAGAAAATTGGCCAGTCCAAAAGGGGGATTTGTGGGCCCCGTGAGACTTAGTCATGCTCTGAGCTGGTTCACATCCTCAAAGGCAAGGAAAGCTCCATTGAAAAGGAACTGAGGTGTGAGGAGGACAGGGCAGGCTGGTATTCCAGCGTCTGAGGTCGGGGGCTATGATGGGAACACCCTTAGGTCCCTGAGGCCTCAGAAGCAGTTTGGTGGGCTGGAGTGAGGGGGCTGGGGTGCGTGGTTTGGTCCCAGACCTGCCTGAAGAATCAGAGGTAGCACTGTCTCGGGACTCACAGAGAAGGTGCTGTATCGAGGGGGATGCTTCCAAGCTCTCACTGGCAAACGGGTCAACCAGGGGCACACAGCTGTTCTTCCCTGAAATCAAGGTACAAATGGGGGCTGGGCAACAAGTGCCATAGCCTTGGGATCCTATGTAACTCCTGACTGAGCCCTGGCAGCTGGGCCCCAGCCTCTGGGGTTCGGGGTTCTTCCTCTGACCTCCATGGAGGCATCCAGACCTGGAGAGGCTGAGGAGGTACAAACCGCCAAGTTACTCAGAAGCACGGAGCAGAGCCATGGTCCACCTGACCTGTCATCTCCCGACGACACCGGAACGCTTTCCAGCCAGGCCCCAGAGGAAAGCTCTTCAGGACTTAAGGAAGCACAGCGCCAGCCACCCCCCCCCCCACTTCCCACCCGTGGCCACGATGGCAGCACCCTGTCCTTGAGCTTCCTCACACCCTTCCACAGCACGCTGTCACCCAGCAATTTGAGGGGAGACTGATGGGGTTGGAACTCAGAGACTCCCTGAGGAGCAGACCAAGGTGCCACAGAGGCGTAGGAGGAGGGGGTTACAGGGCCGGAGGGCGGGGATAGAAGTGGGCCAGGTGGGAGGGGAGGGGGACTGGGGGGGTCTCGGGGTGCAGCTCACCTTCGCAGGTGCGCCAGAGCCCAGAGTGGGAGGAGAGCTGCTGCGCACCACCGGAGCCGCCAGGGTTCGCCACCTCCAGGATGTACCAGTAGTCGCTGGCCACCGCAGCTGCCAGCAGCGCGAAGCTGAGCAGGGCGCCCAGGGCTGCGCTCAGGAACAAGGCGGCCAGAAGGGCCATACTGGCAAGAGCCAGGCAGCAGCCGGGTAGGGATGCAGGGTCGAGCGGAAAGCAGAGCTACGGATGGCCTGCAGGGGGTGGCAGGGAGCTGGAGACAAGAGAACTGTGGGCTGGGGACAGTCAGGGTTCCGGACGGAACTGACCCAGGCTAATGAAGGCTTAGGCGGTGGGAGAGGTGGAAGACTCAGCAGGAGGGCATGGGAGGGGTGTGGAGGAGCAGGCTGGCTAGGAGGCGGGCAGGGGCGGGAGAGGCGCTGCCCTAGGTTCTTCAGCTACCGCTGCTTTCCTGCCACCGTGACTGGCCAAGTTCACCAAGGGGAAATCTAAGGTCCTGGCAGAGCTGGGGACAACAAAGCTGGGTTCAAGTCCCAATGTTGCCACAAACTGGTAGACACAAGCATGCCCACCCTGCTGGGTGGTGCTGGGAAGAGGACAGAGGTCAGTCCAGGACTGCCCCCAGGGGTTATACAGCAGCAGCCAGAGGCTGGACCACCGCACCAATCACCAATAGCTCCTAGAAGAATGGAGGGGTGTGTGTGTGTGGGGGGTGTAGACAGACTCAGGGTGTGACACATCTCAGCTTGGGGTCCTGGTTTTCATCAGTTCTGAGGATCAATGGGATACACTCCCTGCAGCAGGGGAAAAAAAGCATTGTTTCTGTGCAACTTGCTTAAAGGGCACACACAGGGCATTTACAGGGCATGCACTTACAGGGTATACACCTACAGGACATTTACAGAGCACACACCTACAGGGCACACATTCACAGGGCATGCACTTACAGGGTATACACCTACAGGACATTTACAGGGCACACACCTACAGGGCACACACTCACAGGGCACGCACTCACAGGGCATGCACCTATAGGACATTCACCTACAGGGCACACTCCTATGGGACACACAAAGACCTCTCAAGGACAGGAGTCAGATGTTAGCAGCAGGAGAGGCAAATGAGTGGCAAAGAGGCCTCAGTCAGGAGGAAGCCAGGCAGCTGCAGCCGGATGGACGGGGTTACATTCTGGAGAATGAGAGGGCTCCTAATCATTGCCCTGGGGTGGACAGAACCTGCAGACAGGGGCCGGAGGTGGTCTTTCTTGAACACAGGAGCTTTGTGACTCAGGTCAGCCAAGCCTTCCCTTCTTGGCTTGAGGAATATAGTCCCGAGATAAAGCAATCTTAGCAAAGTTATTAAAACAATATTTCAAGTGGAATTCAGACAGTCACAGAATCCTCCCAGTATGTTGTGGCTGTCCTTTCCACATGTACACCAGGCCACCCCTGCCCACATCTGCTGTGTGACAGCCCCTGCAGCTGGCACTATCCTGAAGATACCCCTGCTTTGGAGCCAGGTGGCTCAATGATTGGGAAAGACCAAGAATCCAATGAGCTCCCCAGAGCTGCAGCCCTCCCAAGGCAGAAGGAAAGGGAGAAAGGAGACTTTCCAGCCCCAAGCTCTGATTACAGCGGAGGAATCAGTGCGAATCCTGCAAACTCGAGGCCACCTAGCTGTTATCTCACAATGTAACAACAGCAAGAATCAGTCATGCTTTCTATCTGTCCAGTGCTCCTGTATAGAAAATGTGGATTGACACGAGGGTCCTCCCTCCCTCCCTCCCAGTGAGGCCCTGCTCCTGAGCTGGTTGCAAAGGTTCATGTTACAGCTACCGCTCAAGCAGGTCTAGTGCAGCTGTTAGGGTGGACAACAGCCACGCCCGAGGCCACCGCTGCCCTGCGGGAAGTGACTGCATCAGGCATCCACACCATCTCTGCAGTAATTCCCTAAAGCTGAAGGGCTGGAAGATGGCCTGCTGAGCAGTCCATACCCACTTCATTTTCAACCCTGGGTCTGTGCGGCAGAAGCCACCAATTAGATTGTCTTCTAGGCAGCAGGCACTGGTCCCTGAGAGGTGGCTCTAATGAATTCTACCAGCGTACTTCCCCAGTTGGACCCAAAAGACACCAAGCCCAGTATGAAGAGGTGCTGCTTTAGAACGACCCAGTCAGTATTCATTGCATGTTGTCTCATCAGATGTGTAAGCCATATTAGGCAGGCTGTGTGCCTACCTCTGGCTGCCAGGGACTCTTCAAAGCCAGCATAATCTATCATCACAGAAGTCATGGACAGGTGGGCTTCTGGGGGAAGTCAGTACAGTTCTGAGTAATGGAAACAAGGCTGTATGCAAGCCTCTTTTCTTTAACTAGGTCACATTTGCAGCTGGAACAGGAGTCGGTTTCTAGTGGAAGCCATGTAGCTGATGAGCCCCCTGCTCCAGGCTAACTCTGGCTATTGCCTCTAGCCCGAGTTTGGGAAATTAGTTGGAACTGTCAGCTAAATTACCCTCCAGCAGCTGGGCATCAGCTATACGACAGCTCATTTTCCTGAGCCTGGCAAACATCCTCCCACAGAAGATGAACCTCAAATTACTGTCCAACAGGCCCATTCTTCTACCCAGCATGCAAGATGAAGCTGGCTAAGCCCAGCAGATGCAAGGACTCTCCAGAGTTGGAGGGCATAGGCCAGGAACACACAGCTTTTCATCTTATTGAACAAGCAAGGCTGCATCCACGCCTCTGTTCACACATGCTAAGGAAGCACTCAGCTGGATCCATGAAGAGTGACCATGACGAGGGGCAGCAACTGGAACAGCAGGTGGTCCCAGACCAAGTGGACCCCACAGGTTTCTGAGGCTCCACTTGCTGAGCGGGCCTCAGAAATCATAAACAGCAGAGGAGTTGGAGGAGCTAGAGGAAGGAGAGCAGGGCCATCAGCACGGGTGTGAGAGGCGAGGACCTGTGTCTAGACAGCTGCCCAGGGAGCCTGCACCAGCCAGGGCGGTGTGTGGGAAAGATGTTTCTAGCACCATGTGCCCTAACTCTTCCACCAGACTGCACTTGTAGTGAGCAGGATGCACACCTCACTCCTGCCCTGTGCGCCTGCCCGTGCTGGTCCAGCTTCTGACGGGGGCTCGGATGACAGGATGTTGCCACCCAGGGTGCTCGGGCACACTTGCCCAAGGCCCTTCCTGGCCTTTTACCTTCTTGAAAGCAAGTAGACATTCTGTAAACTGACTTCAGGAGATGGGGTCCTGGGTGCAGTGCCAGGAGTTCAGAATGCACTCAAACTAATGTCACCCCTTTGGTGACTAAGGGGCAAACCGTCCTTTGGGACTGAGACTGTTTGATCTCTCCCTGATGAAACCTGACAAGCCCCAGACTGAGCCAGTGGGCAGGAAACATGCAGCTGTGCTGGCTCCTGACTTTGTTCAGGACAATTTTTGCCTGTGTGAGACAGGAAGGTCCTCAGTGTCAAGACTGGGGTGGAGCTGGCCAGCTGCCAGGGGGCCTCTGCACAGATATCTTGTCCCTGTCTGGGACTTGGCCCCACCTAGGCTCAGATGTCCCATCTTGGTGCTTGCCCATGGCCCCCATCTTGGTGCTTGCCCATGGCCCCCATCTTGGTGCTTGCCCATGGCCCCCATCTTGGTGCTTGCCCATGGCCCCCACCTTGGTGCTTGCCCAGGGCCCCCACCTTGGTGCTTGCCCAGGGCCCCCACCTTGGTGCTTGCCCAGGGCCCCCACCTTGGTGCTTG